AAGCTCAGGCAAGGTACATCCGACAACAGTCAAAGCGTAAAAACTTCCAGGGGTATGCCTCTTCCATTAATAGTGGTGCAACAGTCAAAGAGGTCTGGGCCAAAGTTCATCGCATTGAAGGGAGATATGATGCCTTTTCACTCCCACTCCTCTCCTACAATGGCATTTATCCGGAAAGTCTAAAGGAGCAAGCGGATCATCTCGGTGAGCATTTTGCTCTTGTATCGAGCTCCGAACATTATTCATCTGCATTTCTCGCATACAAAGCACGTGCAGAATCACATGCTGTGAAGACTGCTGGTGCCGCCCATGAAGACTACAATCTACCTCTTACAATGCGTGAACTCGAAATGGTCCTTCACTTAACTAAGCCTTCAGCTGCAGGACCTGATGGCATAGGCTACCAGATGTTAACACATCTTCATCCTTCTAAATTATTTCTTATTCTGTACCTTTTCAATCGCATAGGCCACGAGGGCAAATTTCCTTGGGCATGGAAGGTGGCCACGGTTGTTCCTCTTTTAAAACCTCGTAAGGATCCTTCTGCGTCAAGCTATCGCCCTATCGCCCTTACTAGCTGTTTGAGCAAGACTTTTGAGCGTATTGGGAACAAAAGACTTATGTGCTATTTAGAAAAAGAGAACATCTTGGATAGGAATCAACGTGGGTTTCGTTCCTGTCGTTCTATTGTGAACAAAAGACTTATGTGCTATTTAGAAAAAGAGAACATCTTGGATAGGAATCAACGTGGGTTTCGTTCCTATCATTTGTTTCGTCGTGAGACTGTAATTCGTGCAGTTTTCGTAAACTGACAGTTGTGCGTGTCAGTGCTTTTTATATGGAGAAGGCATATGGCACAGCATGCGCCATGGAATCCTCCGTGATTTGCATGAAGTTGGGATACAAGGTAGGATGCTTGCTACCATCAATAGCTACCTTTCTAACCGATCCTTTTTGGTGAAGCTAGGAGCATCTTTCTCTAAAGAATTCGTCCAGGAGATTGGGGTCCCTCAAGGGGGAGTCCTCAGCGTTGCTCTCTTTTTGGTAAAAATGAACTCAATAGCCCGTTCCCTACCTTCCTCTGTGCAATAGACCCCTTTCGAAGCAAAGCGCCCTCTATCGCATGCAAATGCAACCAGGTCCGGCGCCATTGTGAAGTGGTCCCGCTGGCGTAGTCTGATCGGTGCTTTGTGGACGACGATTCCCGGTCTGAGACGCGTGCTGCGTCAAGATGCCTACGCACTGCTGCGTGCCTCTCTGTACGCAGAATGGGTACGTCGATGAAAGCGCAAAGAAGGTGCGTATCAGAAGAGTTCTAAAAAGTGTTCTGAAAAAAGAAGCCCGCGCGCGATATCCTTGATGCGGTTTGTGTTCGCGCTGCTGAGCCTGACTTTGACAAGCGTCAGTTCAGCTACTTTCTCCTCAGCTTTTGCAGGCCTGATAGAAAACGATCTTATCACCCGTGGGCATGAATGTCGCACACGATAATCCGGGCTTAAAAGTTGTAAATGGGCCCACGGCACCCTCCGTGGCAACCATCGCTTGAAATCGTACGGCGAGGTGGGCCCCTTGTCGGTAGGCTCCTTCCGTTTACTTGCAACTCGAAAGTTGACACCCGGGATAGGAGCGTAGAGCTAGATCATGTGTACACCGCAGCAGAAGGCGTAGTAAAACCAAAGGCCCCCGAGGGATCGCCGGAGCATTCCGTTTTAAACGTTTAGCTCGCCTCAGCAAGGCGGCAGGGCATTACCGCTTAACATTTGGAGATGTCGAGCTTTTGTTAGAATTTATACCAGCAGGCATAAAATATAACAAATGCTCGTTATAATTTGTAATCATAATACATAACCCACATTTATTAATCTATAACAAATTGGGTTGTTAATTTGTAATTTCTGAGAATGGTATTTTTGATACACTACCTTTTTAATTTGCAGGTGTCCTTCCATAGATTCCCCAAATTGGAGGAAGTCTACCGGAAGTGGATAATTGCTATCAAGCGTGACGAAGGCACATCATTCAAGGTGTCGAAGGCAACTAAAGTCTGCTCGAGGCACTTCGTAGAAAGTGACTTTGTGCGGAATGTGACTAACGGGCACAGGCTGCTTTATGGGCATGCTGTGCCATCAGTGTTCAGCTTTAAGAAGCCGAAAGTTCTTAGGAAGCGTCCAAGAGCAACGCATCCCGAAGCAGACTTGCTACAACCCGAAGCAGACCAGCAACAATCAGAAGACACCACCACTGCCCCCGAGCTGCCGGATAAAGATCCTGGAGCGAGCCCAGTGCCCATGGAACCGCCAGTCTGCATGTGCAGCTTGGAGCCCGAGCTCGAATTAAGGAAGGTAGCAGAGAGGAAGCTGCACAGTGAAATGGAATTGCTGCGAAATGAACTGAAAGAAACCAAGGCCGAAGTGTACCGACTGAAAGCCGAGCTCCAAAGAGCTCTAGCAAACTGCAAGGTGTTAGAAGAGAAAAATGTTCCTTTCAGCGTTGAAAGATTCAAGGAGAGCGACAAGGACATTCAGTTTTACACCGGACTGCCCAATTATGGTACTTTTATTGCTTTCCTCGAGCTCATTGACGCTGGAGAGAATGGTAAAAGTTTTGTTATGCGATCCGGAGTTAGCTTGCATGCGTCAGAAAAGGCTGGACGGCCACGTAAGCTATCGGCAAAGAATCAGCTGTTTCTTGTTCTCGTTAAGTTGAAAGGTGGCATGTTCCATAAACACCTGGGACATGTGTTCGACATTTCAGTAAGTACAGTGTCGAAACTGTTCAGCGCGTGGATGAGCTTTTTGTATCTCCATCTCACGAACCTGGCTCTCTGGCTACCACGAGAGACCATCGACAGCACCATGCCACCAGCTTTCAGGGAAAAGTTTCCGACAACTCGGGTCATCTTAGATGCCACAGAGATTAGGTGTGAGGTGACAAGCTCGTTTGTGACTCAGTCGGGGACGTACTCGTACTACAAATCTACGAACACGTTTAAGGACCTGGTGGGCATTTCACCCAACGGCCTGGTAACATTTGTGTCTGAGCTTTTTATAGGTTCCGTTTCTGACAAAGAGACTGTCATCCAGAGTGTCCTTCTTGAGATGCCCTTTGATAGGGGCGATTCTGTCATGGCCGACAAGGGCTTTAAGATTGTCGACCTCCTCCAAAAGCTTGGCGTAGCACTCAACATTCCTCCATTTTTGAATCGAGGCAACTTCTCCACCGAGGAAGTCGTAGAAACACAGGACATCGCTGCCCTCCGGATTCACGTTGAACGCCGAATCCAGAGAATCAAGTCCTTCCACATTTTCGACCGCCCCATTCCCATCTCGTTGGCACCCCTTGCCAACCAAATATGGACTGTATGCACAGTCCTCACTAACATGCAGTCCCCACTCATCAGGGACAGTGAGTAAACTGCAAGGTAACTTGTAATGCTCATTGCAAAGCTGATAGCTTCGATTGTTCAAAGGTAATTTATTGTTTAAAAAGATACTACAACAAAAATTCGGCGCTCATTTTTTTATCTATATATGTGTTCAAAGGAGCAGTATCACATCGAACATACCAATGCCTTGCTAGAAAAGTCTCAAAAAGGAATTTTAAAACGAATTAAACGATTAGCAAAGAGCACCTGGTGGATTTCGCTGACGCCTCGTTTGTAATGCTCGCCTAGGAACCTTGACAGCTAGTGACGGAGGTTGTCTCGCCTCCGGCCACGACGAGAAAAGAGGGGAAGGAGGTACTCCCCTTTTCCCGAGAATGCCTTTTGTGTGTTGCAGAAGTCGCTATCGCTTTTGTGTGTTGCAGAAGTCGCTTTAACCGTTTTTTCATTAACCGTTTTTTCGCTATTGTCCCTCTACAATATTATTTAAGATTAACCCGTCACTCAAAATTCGTATAAAGCAGCCGCTTCGGTGGCTGGAAAGACTAGGCCATTCTCTCAACGTCAGCCTCGCCATAGCTTTGCTCGTCCCAAGACGACCTACGTCACGATTGCGTTGGATGTCACGTGGTCTCCGCTGGGCCTTCTCCGAAAGCTCAAAATACAAACGTGCGATTTTCTTTTACGGATATTGTGGATCATATTCAACCTATCTTTGAACACAACGGGAATATTTCAAAATATGTTGAAGCATCCCTTTAACTGATGTGAATTCACACTGAAAGGATCCGTGTGCCTCACTGCAGATTTGTGTACGGTTCCAGTTAGGAGAGAGGGCGAAGTAAAGATTTGAGTAGACTGAAATGTCGGCGATTGTCACACTTAACGAATCGAGTGCACCGTGTCTGCATGTTTGCCAAGCCCTGCTAATATTGCTTGTCAGTGCACTTCCACCTTGTGAATAAAAGACTTCTAAACACTTACCATCTATTTGTTCAGAATACTTAATTAGTAAGGGGGCGGTAACTTTTACAGTTTGCAAAGCTATTGTGAAAAGAGAATAGTACCCTCGCCTAGTGTGTTTACTGAGGCAGCTAAAATGGCACATGCAATGGGTCAAACTCGTTTATGCAAAAATGTTCCAAAAGCCAAGACTCGTGATGATTCAACGCGTAACACCGACTTGAGAAAACAATACTAACAATTTAATTGGCTGTTTCGTCCCAATTTGGAAGACATCGCCAGTGTGCGCCAGCAAACTCAAACAAAAAGTACAGCAACCAGTTCGCTATTTAAGGATGCCTGCATACACTTCGGGGAGGGTGATCATGGAGGTGCAGCACCGGGTACGCTTTTGAAGTGTGGGGGAAGGGGGGGAGAGGGGGGGACCGCGGTGCAATGCTAAGCACGGTTCCCTCTACGAACTGTATGTGGACGTTCTTAAATAGCGCACTAGTTGCTGTACTTTTTATTTGTGTTCCCTGGCACACACTGACGATGTCCTGAATTGGGACGAAACAGCTGATTAAATTGTTAGTATTGTTTTGTCAAGTTGGTGTTATTTGTTTAATCAATCCTTTATTCGGAACACGGAAGGCTCCATCTCGATGTTGGACAACTACCTGCTGCACTCCAGGTGAGGCAGCAGCACGTTGAAGTAAAAGTCTTCGAGCTTTGCACTCACGCTCGCCCATTCGCCCGCATTGAACCTTATTCTCTCGATGAGTATGAAGTGCTTTGCGTAGACAATGAAGTCCCCCCACTGTAGCCCGGAAACAGCCATTTGTCCAAGAACTTGGAAGTGATGGGGGTGGTTGTCCTTCAGCTTTGACTGGTCCTGGTCCACTTTAGAGCAGAATTCCAAGTGCTCGAGCTCGTCCGTAGTCTTCAGCCAGAGAGACGAAGGGCACTTTATCTCCATGATGCCATGAGGAGGGTCTTCGGCGGGATCATACACAATCCTGTCCGGTGATGCTCCAAGCCATGGAGCTTCCGGGTCAACAAAAAGTCCACAGCCGCTGACTGTAACTTGGTGCCCCAATCCTTTTAGGACATCTTCGTAAAACCTTGCAGCGACCGGCTCGTTGATGATGCCGTGCCTGAAAAATTAGATATGGGTTATATTACCACCCAGATATAAATGACGATGCTGTGTCTGCATGCCATGTTCCCATTTTTTCAGCCCAGTGCACACTAGCGGGCACAGGCTGCTTCACAAGCCTGCTTTGCCATCAGTGTTCAGCTTGAACAAGGTGCGAGGTATCAAGAGGCCTCCGAAACAGGGAACACCATGAATCGCACCACAAACAATGCAGCCCGAAGCAGGCTTGCAACAACCCAAAGGCACCACTAGTGTCGCCTCACACTGAGGAGATTTGACAATGCACTTTGGGGAGAAAGCTCAAAGGCCAAAATAGTTCAAACACGTTTTTCAAGTCATAGGAGTGTAGCAGCCGTGCCAGCTGTACCACTAGAGCGAAAGAAAAAGAAGCCGAGGCGCACGGGAAGAGACCACGAGACACTAGCTTTGCGATTCGGCGACCGAGCGGACCGGCGGCTAGATCGGACGATGTTTTCTACTGTTTCGGTTTTCTTGTAAATATTGTATATAAAAGTATGTTTAGTGCCACCTGACTGGTACCCACAGCAGATTCTGCATTGAGGTGCACAATTTTTTTATTATCAAAAACAATTATGTGCACTTTCAGAGGCATTGACAGTAGAAATTTAGGGTATGATGAAAACAGCTCTAAGTGTGCTTATATGGATGCACAAGATCTGTAAACAGCAGCCATACTCCGTTCACTGCTAAGTTGACAGAACGATAGAAGCTATGTGTATGGCAGACCAGTAAGTGTCGGCTTTGCGCCACACAATCAGGGTCCCTGCCTATACGAGCGCACAGAGTCAAGCAATAAAAGACGGGAAGAAATTTATCCCCCGAGTATGTAGCCCCCGCCGCCCTGTCAGCTTAGGTGTGAATGGAGTACAAGTATATTTATTTTCAAATGTCACTGCCCTATTTGCCTTCAAGTTGTTCCCACGCACAGTCCTCCGCCTCTTGTTCACCAACCCCCTTTTTACCTCTCCTATATTGTACACCTGAGGAAATAGTCTTCCTTTCTCGCCGAGTAAAATCGCTACGGTGAAACTATTCTCGCCAAGTCTGGCCCATAACATTTATAGGTTTAAGGCAGTTCGCAAGATATTTCCTCTTGATATAGAATGATGTATTGCATATCTATACACTATGCTTTCTGCTTTGGACCTTGACCTAATATTCAGTTTGGTACGTATTTAAAAGCAAATGCTGTCCGCCAATAGGGTGGTTTCGTGCGACATACTTCTGGTTCAAAATCTTGCCGGAAAGGCGCACAATCGGGGACGTATTTCCTTTCCGTAACACATCGCTTACTCTGTTTTCGTTCCTTTTGAAGTGACCCTCGACGTGTCTCCTAAGGCCGTTTCGGTCAATGACATCCGTCTGCTAACACGTCGGCATGTCCTATACTCTGTTTCATATTTAGCGTGCAACGCTGTCAAAGCTACTGGCGCGAGCGCGTGGCTTCATTTATGGTTTTGTTTGCGCGAGAACGAGTGCAAATGAACAACAAGATCAAGCCCCACGCTCATGCCAGTAGTTTTGACAGCGTTGCACGCTAAGCATGAAGCAGAGTATAGCTTTGAATAAAGACTTGTACGTTTGAAAATCGGGTGCCAGCTGATATTTTTTATTGTTGCCGACTGCTGTTGAGTGCGGGTGAATCAAAACACCAAAGAACTTAAACGAGAAAGGAAAATCAACTTCACAGCATCCGTTCATAAGAATGCGTAGGGACAAAACTTACACCAAGATTCGTCGTCGACGGAACCACTCGCTGTGCTTTTGAGACTCACCATAACCACAAACGATGCCAATAAGCGATCAGATGTCAGAAGGCATACAGTGGTGCCTACGCCGGGGAAAGCAACACGGCAGCAGAGTGCAACACCAACATGTTCAAGCATTACAAACCGGAAGTAAAACTGTGTTTCATGAAATCGCCCTATAGTGTGATTCCTGTGGCTCATTGAACCTCGGCTCTGCACTAAAACCTTTCAAGCTTTACTGTAGCACATATCTTTCTTCGCAATTAGCTTCAGAAGGGGCTTCACTCTCATGTACAAGCCCTGTGTCTCAATGGTATACTCGCTGGTCGCTTTCCAGCGCTCCCGTCATCTAAATCTGATCTATAAGACACCGGAGCGCACCTGAATCCGATCGAGACAAACAGTGCGCCAGTCGAACACTCGTGAAGTTTTCCGAGTGGCGAAAAGCAAGCAGTGCCGAATGGAAGTTTCTGCGAAACTATCAAACAAAGCAACGTTACAGCTTCAAAACTTCCTCGTACTCTGGTTCGTACCTCTTTGTCAGAGTAGATCCTCATTACTGTGAAAACATGAGGCTTCATTTTGGGAACTGTGCATGGCACTTTGAACAATTGTGCAAACAGTTTCCCCGTTGGCTTCGTAAACACAACCATCGTCGTTGTCGTCCGAGCTGCTGCTATCACTGCTGTCTGCTAGGTCGACAGCAGCAATGACGCAATGCCCCATCAGCATTAAACGCCATATGGGGAGCACAACACAACGCTGGGATCGGTGCGGCATTTAGGCGCGAAAAGTCTGTCAGCCGTTCTCTTTCAACCGAACAATGGACTGGCGGAATGGCTGGAGTGACGTGACCGGTTGGCAGCAGGTCTGCATTCTGCACGCTCCCACTTCAAAGTCAGAACGCCTCAAATCGCTACAAGTTGGAGGAATACGAGAGTCGGAGCTTCGATAGCGCTCTAAAAGAACCCACCGAACATACTTGGAGCGCCCAGCATCGACCAGCTAAATGCACAGCGGCTTTTCAGAGTGCTCTAAAACACTGGAAAGCAACCAGACGTATATACATGAGTGTAGTCTGCCTGAACACAAATTGATGACGGAATGAGACAGATGTGCCTTAGCAAACATAGAAACACCTTAAAAGGATGCTGAACCGAAATCTGGATTCCACAAGGCACGGCAGCAAAAGCGTACAACGGGATGCTACAAACATCAAAACATCACTCATACAACGATATATCAAACAAATGACCATATTTTTCTAAAAAAAAAAAAAAAAAAAAAAGGAGGCGCATTTAACAGTTATGTTTACGTCTTGTTTCTTCGAGGAGGGGGGAATGATATCGTGTCTTCTCCGCCTCGCCGCCTTGAGGGGGCGGAACCAAGAGAGGAGGAAACGAGATATTTTGACGTCACGCGCGTCTACGGCCTCGTTCAATCTCGACCTTTTTTCCCCAAAAATACGGCCGTCGATTCGAGATATCGCCTTACGAGCAGTGTTGTAGGGATTGTAGCGTCCCGCCTACAGCTCCTGCATTGTTTTCTGAAATCAAAATTGTGGTTCCCCATCTCTTTAACATTTGTGGTTTTTGTTAACACCTCACCTGACAGCAGGAACTTTTGATATGTCTTTTGGGGTGACGAGGGCATCCAGACCCTTGTCAGTCCACACTGTCCTTCGGAAGGCTGTGCCGAAGTGGAATGCTGTCAACCGCAGCTTGCGCTCTTTACACCACGTGGGACTCCGTGACTGCTGCCTGTGCCGAAGTGGGATGCTGTCAACCGCAGCTTGCGCTTTTTACACCACGTGGGACTCCTTGACTGCTGCCTCGTATTCCTCTCGAGGTCTCTCGCCTGCTGTGCTGTTAGCTGCAGGCTCTAGAATATACAAATAAAAAACAATGCTGAAATAATGAACCAGAGCATTTTGTAGTGCAAACTGTTTAGAACCAGATAAATTTATGGCTGGTCCTAAATAGATGCAAAAATCCCAAAAGGCCGCTCGCTTGGTTACGTTGCCTCACGTCAACCACTGTCGGCTGCTTTAAACGGTTCGTGAAAGTGACTCCCAGAATACCCCTCGGTGCCGGTGGAGGGCACTGCACCTTTTGCAACAATTTACATGCACCTTTGCATGAGGGACCAACGTTATTCATTCCATAAAGGTGCTTTTTGGTCTTGGTCTGCTCAATTGTGGACTTACCGACAACTATATAGTCAACGTGAGTAAAGCTGCATTCTTTATTTTAATTCACCTCAGCTCTGGCATGCCACCGAGCTTCAAGATCAGTTTGTTGGCATTGTGTGCGAGCATATCCCACCCATTACGAACATAGGGTGCTCTCAATAACGCAATTTCAAGAACTATTCCTGCGCATACTTAAGTGCAACAACATTAAAACAAACACATAGACCCCAGCTGCCCTCCCCCCCCCTCCCCCCCTTCCTGTAACATGAGAACAATATTATCAGTGAGAATATGATGCGGCAAGCAGAAATGCGTCTCCATAGTTTTCCGTGCACACAGCAGTGGCAGACCTTACAACCGCACTTCAATGTGATGTCATAGAATTGTTCGCTGTATAGTGGCATTTACAATAACGATCTGTATCATTACCTCCAAAATCTCGTTTCCCAGGAACGGAAGGGGAATCTCCCATAGTTCCCTTCCGCGGAAGAACTGGCATTCTCGTGGGGCTTGGTAGGGGTGGCTTGCGCACTGGGGGATATTGGTGATGACCTTGAGTCCATGGGGGAAGACAGGCTGCTGGTACGCCAGCGGTGCAACAGCCAGTGCAGGGCCGAACTTCGTGTCCTTCGAGGTCTTGTCTTGCACTTGAAGCAAAGCTGCTGCAAAGTCAGTACAGCTGCCAAGGCTGAGGAGTGTTTCCGCAAACTTCCTCGTAGAAGCTTCTTGCTGCTCCTGGCTTCGGGGAGCCACCCTGCTCTCATAGAGGCGGGACATAAGTGGGGTGTCCTGGCCGCCCTCCCTCACACATCTCCAGTCTACTAACTGGATTGAAGTACCGTGGATGTGAGGCCCTCGAAATACTCTCCACTGTTGCGACAGGTCCGTGCAGGACAGCTATGCAGGTGCCTCGCTGAAGCCTTTGGCCTGCAAAAGTGCTACGGTCCGAAGCAGCGCCATCAGGTGGTTGCACGCCACACCTCCAGCAGGGCAGTCACAGTTTTCATCCAACAGTTGGCCTTGCACGTCTGTTGTTGCCATCACCGTGTAAGGAGGCTGAGTCTTTTTTTTTTGCTGCGGAAACAGGAGCCCTTCAGGTAGAAGCGTCCTCCGCTGATTGGAATAAAAAAATCGTACAGTGTGTTTACACATTCCAGAGACTTGAAAGCAGCTGCAGTTGTGAATTGGACATACACATTTCCAGACAAAATAAGGATCAGTTACCATACACAACCAGCTGCGAATTCCCCTTGCCATGCAAACAGCCTAAGGAAATAGTTTCAACATGCAAACATATATTTCATACATTTACAATAACATTACTGATCCAAGTAGCCTATTGTTTATTTTTTAGGAAAACACCGAAGCTACCACGGTTGGAATTTAGGACATTATATTTGCGATACAGCAAAAACTTCTTCAGTTGTGCAGTCATAGCAGTTCAGACGGCTTCTATTTTGGTGTGTTCGCGCTTTACGATATATTCCGAAAATTCAAACGGGCGAGGCACCGTTCAGAACTACGGGTAAAAGATCATTTGTGCCTCCGCGGCTAACTTCTCGACTGGAAGCTTCAGGCGCCTTCACACCGGCGATGCGATGTAGTCGCGCGATAACTTTCATCGCTACAGCGACCATCGCGGGGAAAAAAAAAAAAAAAACAAAAAAAAAAACGACGCAATTTGAGCAGTCGCTACCTGACCCGACTTTCTGCGATGCGATCTAGTCGCGGAGCGGCTGAGCAAACCAGCGACGTTCGGAGCGAGTTTTTTTCCCGAAGGACTCGCCAACGAAGGCGTTGGACTCTCTCATCGCGCACGCCGTTACATCTAATATTTTTGCGATGCGATCTATCGCCGGTGTGAACGACTTGGCACACGATATGCGATTCAAACCGTAAAAAAATAAATCACTTGCCTTTTTCGCGAGTAGTTCGCCCTTATTGAAGCGGGCACCACATACGCCTCGACGACGAAGTTGTAACTTCTCTCCATGGAGCGGTCCGTGGCTGAACGGCTTCTGTAGAACTTCTCCACTTCGCTGTCGCTGATCGGTGGCAGTTTCGAAAGGTCGTTCACCCAGCCGGTGATGGGGAAGACGCCCGCACAAGCCATTGTTCGAAGGAACAGAGATCGGCAGACGCGCTCCGCACCGCCGAAGCGAAGTGGCCGAACTTGCCGAACTGGCCGAACACTTCACAATGGCGGCGGTCGCCCAGTGTTGCTAGATGTTTCTGCTTTGCCGCTTAAAGATTTTCAGGGTTGCCGAAATTTCGAAAGGGGCCTATACTCACTTTATGTTGATGACCTTCAAATCTCTTTTTCATCGTGCAATCTTTCTATTTGTGTACGGAGGCTTCAAGTTGCCATCAACAATCTCCTAAAGTGGGCGGATGAAAACGGCTTTAGTTTCTCTCCGGAAAAGACGGTTACTGTCTGTTACTCCCGTATACGGGGAGTCCCTGCGGTTCCTTCTCTATATATGCGACAGACCCCTATCCCGGTGAAAGTAGGTCACAAGTTTCTGGGCCCCACCTTCGACCGTAAGCTTTCGTTTGTGCCTCATATAAAAAGTCTGAAGTTAAAATGCCGGAAATCACTGAACCTCCTTAAAGTCTTGTCCCACAAAACATGGGGCTCTGACCGTCTATGTCTTTTGCGAATCTATCGCTCGGTAATCCGCTCACGCCTGGACTATGGCAGCTTTGTGTACGGATCTGCTAGGCCATCAGCTCTTAAGGCACTTGGTCCCATCCATCATCAGGGACTTCGCTTGGCAATAGGGGCCTTCAGAACGTCACCTGTGCTCAGTCTCTACGCTGAGGGAAATGAGATGTCCCTCGACAGACGGCGATTCTCCTTGGGATTTATGTATTCATTACTAAGCACACCCCGTCCCTGTACCTGGGTAAAATTTTCAAACAATCACTTATTACAGGTATGATTCCCAATGACTGGAGACATGCAGACGTCATTCCAATTTTTAAGTCTGGGTCATCTGACGATCTGAGCAATTACAGGCCTATTTCTTTAACAAGTGTATGTAGTAAGCTCTTTGAACATATTATTTTTACAGCCATAATGCAGTTTCTTGATATCAATAATGTATTATTTTCTAACCAGGATGGATTTCGTAGGAATCGATCATGCACAACACAGCTTTTCGAGTTAGTAACCGATATTCACAGTAATCTTAACTTACGAAAACAAACAGACGCTCTCTTTATAGACTTTTCGAAAGCTTTCGACCGTGTGCCACACTACAGACTTATAGTAAAATTACAAAACTTACAAATTAATGCAACTGTAGCTAATTGGATAAAAAATTTTCTCACGACTAGAACCCAATCCGTACATCTAGGTGAAACATCTTCACAATCCTTACCAGTTATTTCAGGCGTACCACAGGGTGCTGTACTGGGCCCAGTGTTCTTCCTTATTTATATAAATGATATCGGTTATCGCCTGAGAAGCTGTGTTCGTCTGTTTGCTGACGATCTTGTTGTTTATCACGCTATTTCCAGTGAAGATGATTGCCTAACATTACAAGAAGACCTATCCCTAATTGAAACCTGGTGTGCCGAGTGGCTTATGTCCATTAATCATAATAAATGTAAATGTGCATTTTTTTCTAAATCCCGTAATCCAGTAGATTACACCTATCAACTTGCATCCCAGCCCATTGAAAAGGTTTCATCTTTTAAATACCTTGGCGTGCGCTTAAGCTCTGACCTTTCATGGAGAACTCATATTGAACACATAACTTCCAGTGCTAATAAACTTTAGGTTTTCTAAGACGCCATCTTAGTCAAGCTTCACCGAAAATCAAACAGCTGTCGTACTGCACCCTTGTTAGATCCAAGATGGAATACGCTTCTACCATTTGGAACCCCCATCAGGCTTACCTATCCGACATGTTAGAATCAATCCAAAACCGCGCAAGTAGATTCATTCTTGCTGACTACTCACCCACGAGCATCTCTGCCCTGAAGGCTTCTTTATCACTACCTCTCCTTAATATTAGACGCACCGTAGATAGATTATCCTTTTTTCATAACCTGTTTTACAAGCCCTGGACTGATCATGAATTCTTCTCTTCAGCCAGTCATGTCTCCCTACGCCGTGATTATTGCCAGAAGATAGAAATGCCCTTTGCCGGAACCAACATTTTAAAAAACTCTCCCTTTTTTTTGTGTCTACGGGATTGGAATGCGCTACCTGAGTCCATTGTAACAATTACAGATCTTACCTTGTTTTTAGCGGAACTTACTGAGCATATGATTGTATAATGAAGATATTGCACTGTAAAATAACATATGTTCTTTCAACCTATTTGTTCCTACATTTGATTTCAACCCTTGAAGTGTTATATTGTGTTTTATGTTACCCCCCTTATGTAATGGCCCCAGGGGCCTTTAAGGTATAATAAATGAAATGAAATGAAATGAAGAATACGATCAGTCGCACAGCATCCAGCCCGGGAGGCAGTGGAGGGCACGAAATATCAAGAGACATTTGAAAACAAGCCTAACATTATCTCTCCATTTACGATGAGAAATAGGAATGTGGCTGAGTCAGTTGGGATAGACAGTAAGCTTCCAGTTGCCGCAGTTCCAAAAACAGTGGCCCCATGGGATTTCAGCTGCATACGTTGCGATTTGTTACTAACAAAGTTTAATAAAAAGGATACCCCATCCGAGGTCATGCGACAAGAATTTTACGAACTCGAGAAGCAGCATGATTCTCATTCACACTATTAGACAGACGGCACAAAAACGGAATCATTTGTTGGCTGTGCCGTGATCGGCCCATCAGTAAGAAGTGTTCGTAGGCTAAATTCGTTCACGATAGTTTTCACTGCCGAACTGTGCGGCCTTCTGCTTGCAATAGATACATCATCCAAACACGGAACTCCCGGTCAGTTGTATATACAGATTCGTTGAGTGCGTTACGTACTCTGATTTCACTTGAAACCCCAAAGAATGCACTCATTGTTTTATTACAAAGCAAAATAGTAGCAGGGACCAGGAAGGGATGTAATGTTCTATTCTGCTGGGTGCCGAGCCATGTCAGAGTCCCATGAAATGAAGAGGTAGATCATGCTGCGGGCACTTGTGGCACTCGTACTGTGGACATTAGTGGTATCCCATTTAGAGATTACTGTGCCCTAGTCAAATGGCATCTTAAAGCTCAGTGGCAAACATAATGGAGCCTACAGGTGTCCAACAAACTGCACATGATTAAGCCTTTTCTTAGTGAATGGGAGAGTGCTAGGCACAGAGACAGGTTTTATGAGGTAGTCCTCTGTCGTCTACACATTGGGCACACGCGGCTGACGCATGGACACCTTTTGCGTGGGGAGGACGCTCCGGAATGTGAGCATTACCAGCAACATTTGAGTGTCTTGCATATTCTTCTCGAATGCCCTGCGCATGATGATAAACGCCGCCGTTACTTCTCCCAGCTCTACAAAGAGCATATTCCTCTACACCTATGTGTGTTGCTTGGAAATGAGCCACTACTCCCACCCACCCAGGTTTTGTAGCACAAATTGTAGCATTATATATAATATAAGGTCCTAGTCCTATTTTATACATTTTTGAAATTACCAGCTACTAAAGCTTTTTCTTCTTCAAAACCCTTTTCTGCAATAGTATCATTTCTTGGCGCATCATAGCCTTAGTTGCTTTTACGCCACAAAACCCCAATCTACTACTACTACTACTATAACAAGTGCACCGTTTCGCGAGCGTTTGTCGTCTTATTTTTGTTATTTACTTCGATTATGTTCAATGTGCAAGGCGAGCGCGTGCAGCTCGTGTAACTATACTCGCTGCTAGTCCTTGGTAATTGGGAAATTTACCAAATCGTCTATTCATATCTTCTGCAAACAATTCTGACTTACGGGTTCATCGGTTTCCTCCGCAGTTCCATCGTTGTTTTTCTTCATTTGCTTGCGCCAGGCAGTTGCTTTCGGTAGCACAAATTCATTTCCAGGCTCCAAGTACTGCTTTCGCTTCGTGCCAGACATGTTGACCTGATCAAAGCCTTTAGCTACTCAAATGAAACGAAGAGACACCAGCAATCACCCACAGACCCGGTGACAAATAACTGGCACCATGTGCGTCTGCCGGGTCGGATTGGATTGGATAACATATGTGACAAATTTTTCTCGGCGGTAAAATTGGTAAAATGCAGGCATTCCAAGCCAGCAAAAGCAGCAAATATCATTTAAACAACGTAGAGCGATAATTTAATCAACAAATTAAGTATTACAAAACATTTAGTCGAGAAAATGAACATTCAGTTCACAGGACGGCACTTAGTTGATCGTAAGATGTTTTAGCGAACGAAAACGAAACCAGACCAAGTCGTCTGCTTCTTGCGCAGGAGTTGCGTGGACATCAGATCGACGCTGAGCTCCGATCGGCTTTGATTGAAAGACAGTGGGCAGCCCTCAATTGTAGGTACCTCGAGGTCTACCCACTATTCTTTTTCAATCAGCCAACAAGAGCTCGGCGTTCTGACATCATCGCAACCACTGTACAAGTAGAAGACAAGCTTGCACTCCGCATTGGCGAATGGCTCTGTGCTAGTACCAGTGTTGTACACGTTCCTCAAAAAAAGGAACGAAATCTCGTTCCTCGTTCCTTCTGATTTTTGGAACGCGTTCCCGTTACAAGTTCCATATGTGAAAAAGGAACTCGTTCCCGTTACAGTTTAGAAAATGGAACGTATCGTTACATATACGTTACATTTGTAATTTTTGCTAATTGCCATATTTAGTTAAATCAAACAGTTTTTTTTTTATTTTTTATCTCTCCCATGAATAGTCAGCATACGATTTTGTATGTCGTGATGGAAGGGCACAAGGAAAAGAAAACACGCGGAAGCAGGGTTTCATTTGTTGACATGTTCATGTTAAAAATCTCAGCTAATAACCATGTCCATGTTTGTAGAGGATAATTTGAACGAGCCAAATGTACTTTTATCCAAGATTGCACGAGCGTTTTACAACTACTTCACACGTTTCAATTCAACAGGGTCCCGTGTTAGAACTTAACAACAGTTGCTTTTCGATGTTGCTGTCCGTAAGACGAGCAAGTGAAGGAGAGGCTAGGGCTTTTGGAACGTCAGTCTTGAAAGCTACAAATGCTTCGTTGTGAAGGTTAGATTTGTTGTTCAGTTTGAAGGTGGGGTGCAAGGAAAGGAATAAAGGTTATTTTTTGTGTTTCTTTTAAGTGAATAATGGTCGGGATAGGAGGGTGAGTCCGATATCTGACAATATGTGATCTTGTTGTAATTGGAGGTCTCGTTATTGAAGTTCAAAAATGGATGTAATCGGAAAAAGATTTCTGGGTGTATGAGGATTCGTAGAACCAAAGAAAGTACCTGAGTTTGCAACAACCCTCTTTCTTTGCCTTTTCCTACGACTAAAAGTTTTGATTTTTGTCCCGCAGTTTCGGGCACTCAAAAAAGCATCAATGCCCGCCAGCTCTCCTGCACCCGAAACTGTTAGCAAGCGAGGACCACACAAAATAGTTCACAAGATTAGTAGCCAAAACGTTAAAGAGATCCTGCACTTCGTAAAGATATTGTTTTTGTACTTTCGTACTTTCCCTGTTAGAAATAAAATAGGAATCACCCCACTAGACGAAAAAAGGAACGCCGTTACTCTTTCCGTTCCAGTTAAAATGAAACGCGTTCCTGTTCCAGTTCCAGCGATGCAAAATGGAACGGCGGCGTTCCTTCGTTCCTCCTAAAAGGAACGCGTTCCAGGAACGCCGTTCCCTGGAACGCCGTTCCGTACAACACTGGCTAGTACTAGCAGCCTAGCTTGCCGAACCCTTGGTGGTGAACCCTAGGCGGGGCACCCTCGAACTTCATATTACATTTATTTACCACGACGGATAGCAAGAGGTGGTCTGTCTAGAAGCGTAGCTTGCCACCACCTACAAAGAGCCTATTCGCTTAAACGGTCATTCGCGGAAACGTCCATTCGCTCAAAGGATTTCTATTCGCTAAATAGTCGTTAGTTAAAACGCCATTCGCTCATATAGTTATGTTATGCACCTAAGTACGCACGAGCTACGTGATCAAAAGGGCATGCTAGAGTTGGAAATAGTACGCAACACATGTTACAATCGAATGCGCCGACAAGTTTCTTAAATATTCAATAAAACTATCTGTTCAGGTTTCATCTGTTTACTTTCAAATAATTTCTAACGATTATTTCTTAAGTATTCCTGCATGAGCGTCAGCTCCTAGGTTCCGGAGAATGGTCATGGACATTTCACGCCCTCCATCTCTACATCAAAACTTCAGCACAATTAGGTATGATCAATCGACTGATTTCTTATTCAAATGAGCTTATTAACAGAAAACGTAGTACTGTATGGCGTGCATTGAGTAGATGGCCTGTATTGTTTACTTTATCGGGCGCCATGATTCGTGTGCGCTCTCCGGCATACGTACCAGGCGGCTTTGCTAGTACTTATATCTTCGCGCAGCGGTCCTACGGTCCCCCAAGAGGAAAGACACCGACAGCGTGATACGCGAACTTATTACTGTGACTTGTGAAGATGTCTACCGAATTCCGAGGATAGGATATATGTGTACAAAAGTTTTTGTCCAGAGCAATCCGATATTACAACCCTAGCTGAGCATGCCGCATTTGATATCTTGTCAATGCAGAATGCTGGGCTAGATTGGTATTGGGATGTCAAGGGCACGGTAGCGCTTTAAGACTAGGACGAAGAAGGGACTAGAAAATTGGGTTGTGTGTATGTTTATACAGCCTAGAGCTTGGTCTGCCTCAACGGGCGACGAGTCTCCCAGCTATAGATGAGCAATTTCGCCAGTGCAGTACAACCGCTAGCCTGGGGTCTTTAACGTGCACCACACAGTAGTGATACACGACCGCACGCAGGTGCGATGCTCATCCACATCGAAACAGGCGGGGGTGGGGATTGAAACCAGGATCCCTGGGTTCTGTAGCGCGAACTTTTGCACCACGTGCTCCGAGCTGGTGTACGCTAGCCCACTCTGCCACCGATCCCCCCTAGAGACTACACACACAAGCGCTGACTGCAACTATTCATTCAGTTGCAGTCAGCGCTCGTGTGTGTCTAGGTCTCTTCTTTGTCCTCGTCTAAAAGCGCTACCATGCCCTTGATACGTTGACAAGAAAGCACTTTCGAAATCATAGACAGCTGCATAAAACGTATAGCTACTTATTTTTGTAAAGCCGGAACCTAAAGCATGTATTTGTAGACATATAGAGAACAGTAATTGGCTCGGTGCCAATCAGTTCATCAAACAGCGTTTCATCGACAAATCGTTTCGTCGACACGAGCAAGCGTTCGATTATTTGAGAGGCACACCGGAGCATCATTTTTCCGCTTCGCCCGATTGGTGTATAGCCTCGGGGCCGCTTGCCATACCTTGGCGGTTCCGAAGAACCGTCCAATATAATCTCCTTGATTCAATCGAATTCTCCGGGGCTTCACTCTTGGCTTAGCTGCTCGGGCTCATATATAACCTAATAATGCCTGTTATTTTTTATTTACGTGTTTAGGGCACGTTACACTCTGCGGCGCCTGGTACCAGCATAATATCCATCTGCGAGTTGTAGGCGCTCGTTTAGGCGTTTAGGTGTTCTTCTGTTTCCTTAACAGACATGTGTTACTGTTTGTTGTTGTTCCTCATGCGGTGCCGGCGTGGCAGTGTCCGGGTATTGAACCCGGACCGGCGGATTTTTTGGGTCGCGCACCAGTAACCTAGCTGTGTTTGGAGATTTGTGTTTGTCCTTTGTCCCTCTTGTGTTTCTTCTCCAGGGATTATTTTCGTCATTCCTGTCCAGCTCGCTCACGAACAGTGGACAAAATCGATATTGCGAAAACTACGCGTTGCAACAACAACAACAACAACAAAAGGCCGTTTTGGTCGTGGGCCAGGGGCCTATTTAGTAAAATTTCCTGAATAGGCCCCTGGCCCAGGACCAAAATGACACAAGCCTTTTTTTGTTGCGACGGGTAGTTTTTGCAATATCGAATTTGTCCACCTTTCGTGAAACACCCTGTACTCATCTTCGTAGGCTAGTTTTGCATTTTCTGAATATTTGTGCAATTCACAACATACGCTGGTTCAATGTAAAATTAAAAATGGTATTGTCATTAATAAAATTTTCACTGGCACTACACCGCGACTAGCATCAACGCTGCTACTGGCCGGTCTAGCGGTCTAGTCAGAAAGCGCAACGGATTCGAAGTCAAATCTAAATCCAAGGACGCCATTTTGTTTTATGTCGCTTTTCTTTTATTCGCGTCGCTGTTGTCATGGTTGTCACCTTGTCTCTGCTGCCCGAAAATGTCGAACTTTGTTCTTGTACACTACGATGACGATATTTCCGAAGTAGTTCCCATCGACTATGTAAAGAACAAGGAAGCAGAGAATGTCAGGAAGCACGGAAAATATAAAATCGCGTGGTGTGTAGACATCAACTTGAAGAATCAAGAACCACCGGAAGGGGTGAAGTATTACAAAGGAGTAGTGCTGCAGTTGATTGGTGAGTTGCTTTGTTTTATTTTTTCATTCTGGCTATAGCACCGCGCCACAGTGCTTGTTGGTCCACGCCGATCTTTTGCGTGCACCTTCTTCCTCGCGCTAGCTGGGCTGTTTTTGTCTAGGGTTGGATCTGTTGTGGCTAGGGTGCCTTCATGTGCGCTCTCGGCAGAAACTTTGACGCGTTTTTTTTTTTTTTCTTCTTGCCTCTGTTGCGGGAACGCTGAATTTCGCCGGTTAAAAACGTACACAGTCGGCTCTGTTATCGGTCGATAGGAGAGCCGATCACTGCCACTTCCCACCTCAAAGTACGGGGGAAAGGAAAAGGAAAAAAAAAAGGAGGGGGGGGGGGGGCGCGCGCGCGTGCGGCGGCGGGTGGGGCCAGGGGGGGGGGGGGGGTAGAAACTTCCTAATTTTTAATTGATATGCACGAAAGAAAAAAAAAGAACGCATGCAGCATCGCGGATG